TACTCAATATCAATTTAACATTTCATATAGTGTGATTCTAGACACATATTACTTGGGGTGTTATAGTTGGTATCATAGTAGGTCGACTCTTGACCCCACCATGAGACATCATTATAAATTCTCTTCTTCCTGATATATATGTGTATTTCTAGTCCGATTTCTATTGTTATGATATCCAGTTGCTGAGCCTAATCAATTCATTGATTGTATACATGATAGACAGGATCACGATAGATCCGCCACAAGGACGTGTAGAATCGAAAGTGACTCGGGCTTAACTAGTAAAAGCTGACTAATTGGGAGGAGAGAGTCGAGAATCATCGGGCATAAAAGGTCCATGAGACGCGAGCAACAATATTTTAAGTTTATTTTTAACTACGTCAAATATTGGAATTTGAAATTATTCTTCTTTTTTTTCACTTATGTGTTGTGATTCATTTAAAATGGATTTATTTAAGCTGCAAAACTTGTATGTTTACTTTTAAACACTTGGCACTTTTATTTTGAGTCGAGGTCTATTTGAGAGTTTATCTTTCTGTAATTATAGTTGGAGAATTATTGTGTATCTCATTATATTTCATAATGCATATTAAGATTACAAGTCTCACTTAATATGCTGCTCTGTTTTTCTATTGCGCCATAAAACTCCATATGAATTTAATATCATATTTTCTTATTCTCTTTATCTTCTTCCTTGTCAAAATGTCACATCATTCACCAATTTTTTATATACGAATTACCTTTAGGTTAGCCAAAAGTTAATGGATTGCAAGGGTACTCAGGCCATGTCCAGTATAGTGGTGGTTTAGATGTTGCTCGTAAGGTGATAAGCTGTGAGGGCTTCAAGATCTGTTATGACATAGATTCTCCGGACATATTTATAAATAACAAAAAAATATTTTAAATTTATTGAATAAATAATGTATTTAATTATTATTTTATATCAGATATATCAATTATTTAATGAATCTAAAAAAAAATTTATTACTTATAAATATGTTGGGAGGATGTAGTTTGATATATACTTGTTGAAATTTCTTTTCAATTTTTCTTGAAATTACACTTTGTGATAACTCATTCATCGCGGTGTAGTGACGATTCCATGTTAAAGAGATGACTCAGGGATACAAACGGGATCATTGTCACATATTAATCAATAGTATGTTTGTTGATTTTGACCGATTTATGAGAGTGCCGGATAATTGGGCTCCTGTGATTGCTCTGCTCCCACCTCTTACTTCATCACTTGTTTGAGTAGTGGTTCTCTAATCGGATCTATAATGCCAACTTGAATAACATTTTCGATAGGAATTTGGAAAGGCTCGTCAAACAAGAATCAATTGGAAAAGTGCTGCCTCAAGTGCTGCTCTTCTTCTTCTTCCTCGGATTCCGGTGGATATCGATTTCCTTGGAAGGTGTTGTTTTGAAAACTATGTCATCATTCACACACTTCCACTAACAATAATGTCTTATTGCATTTTGGGTCATTTTCAAGATGATTTTTGAATATGTTTGCTGCCATCATGTCATGATTTCAGTGGTATCACACTAATTTAACTAAAAGCAACCAAATCAACATCTTTTGCTAAATAGGAAGCAACATATAGTAGACACCTACATCGTGAATAATATGAGAAAGTGGAAGTGATTAAGTGTAAGTGTTACCTTGTCTGTCCGTACTGTGGTGGGCTGGTTATCAATGCATTTCAGACACTAGACACGTGTCTCCATTGTTGCTACTATCATGTCACTTAAGTTACTAGTTTTAATTGAAATTTTAATACTTTGTTCATGTTTTATTTGAGAGATCAATGCACCTTTAGGAATAGCATTTTTTGGTTTGTAGAATTATTTAGTTTTGAATCAAGAGGATTGGTTATTCACATTTTCATGCTTCATACTTTTAAAGTAATTCAGTTTTGATTACTTACTCTATTTTCATTAGTTTTTAGGATTGAGATTAAGATCTAAAACACTATAAAGTAATAAATTAATGGTTAAATGCATTTTACCTTCTACAATAATAGCGAGTTTTAATTTATCTCATTTAAAAAAAATTCTTTTAACCCTTCAACAAAACAAGATTCACTCCAATTTGGTATGGATCAAGATTCCAACAGAATCTGTATACGTGACTTGACGTGTCTTTTTTTTGTTATTTTTTTATTTTTTTAAATTAAAAATTTTAAATTTTTTTATAATTTTTTTTTTAAAAAAATTATAAAATAATCGAATTTCCACGTGAAATTAAAAACAAATTTAAAAAAACTACGTCAAGCGCCACATATAGATTATGCTAGAATCTTGATCCAAGGTAAATTTTAAGAGAATCTTATTTTATTGAGGGATTAAATTTTTTTTTTAAAAAGGAGATAAATTAAAACCCGTTATTACTGTAGGGGGTAAAATATATTTAACTCATAAATTAATACTAGTGTTTTCTTTAAATTTCAAATTCATTTAGCTTGTACCGTCTTCTCTAGCTTCTAAATTTAAACAAATTTATTCGGCTATTAGTTTTCGCATAAGATTATTTACAATGGCAAAATTATTCAACACTCGTTTTTCTCAGCTTCTAAATTTAAACAACTTTTACTCAGTACAATAGTTTTGTTTAATAAAATTCAACACCTTATCACACCACTTTTATTTCATATTTTTATTTTCTTTTTTATGTTTTTGTTTTTTTGATTATATATTAATAATAATTATCAATTGAAATTAAATTAGAATAATTAAGAGTTAAATAATTTATTTTAATTTAAAAACTTATTTTAATTAGTACAATAGACTCAACTTACAAACAATCTATTTAATTAGTACAATAGACTCAACTTACAAACAATCTATTTAATCACGAAATATTCCAAACTTTATCCATATATGTTTGACTAGATCTGCTTGCAATTTGTGATGTACATTTGAATCACGCATCACAGATCTAGCACACACATGATTTGCAAATGCAGGTAGCACCTCGATCGAGAATGGCTCCGGTATACCAGACCCATTTGCCTCAGATTGATCATAATCTGTCCAATCTTGAGAATATATATCTCATTCATCCTCAACAATCATATTATGCAATATGATACATGACCTCATGATGAGAGCCAAATCGGCTATGTCCCACAAACACGCTGGTTCGCGAATAATTTTAAATCGAGCCTACAACACCTCAAATGCACGTTCGATGTCCTTCCGACATCCCTCCTTATATTTTGCAAATAACTTATCTGGTTAACTTTGAGGAAGTCTAATTTATTTGATGAAAGTCAGATAAGAAGGGTAGATACCGTCAACAAGATAATATGCCATATTATACGGACGTTGATTCACAAAGAAGTTCACTCTTGGAGTTTTTCCCTGTTCAACATCATCAAACACGGGTGAGCGGTCTAGAACGTTTATATCATTCAATCTGCCCGGACATCCAAAGAAGGCATGCCAAATCCATAGATCATAAGTTGCAACTGCTTCAAGAATAACAGTGGTGGTTCTCTTATCTCCCCGAGTAAATTGACCTTCCCATGCTGTAGGACAATTTTTCCATTCCCAGTGCATGCAATCAATACTCCCAATCATCTCCAGGAACCCCCGTATTTCACTAACATGTAGTATTCTTTGCCGGTCATCTTGAGTTGGGGCTCTGAGATGCACTGGCTCATATAATTGTATGATTCCTTTACAGAATCTACGCAAGCAATCTAATGTTGTTGTACCTCCTATTTTAATGTATTCATCGGCCGCATCGGTCGCCACACCATATGCTAACATTCGCATGGCCGTGGTACATTTTTCTAATGGAGATATACCTTCTTTTTTGGTTACGTCAACTCTTTGGGTGAAGTAGTTGTCACTGCTAGATAGTTCCCCAATGATCCTAAGGAACACATGTTTTCGCATCCGGAATCACCGACGAAACATTACATCGTCATATGTAGGTTGGTCTGCAAAATAGTCTTCTATTAGTCTTTGGTTTTCCGCTGCATGATCTCTATTGAGATATTTTCTCTTAACATTAAGTGTATATCCTTCCTCTATTTGGTTTCTTCGCTCCCTGAACCGGTTGACGATATACCTCTCTTCGATTTCAGACTGCCTTTTGTAAGCTTCGATATCAAAGGGAAATTCTGAAGGATCTATTGATGTTTTTTAGTAATATGAGATTTTTGGTATTGGTACATTAATGGAAGAATGAGTCTCCGCTTATAAGATTAGTAATATCATATTTTTGGTATTGGTACATCAATAATATATAAGAAACTAAGTGATAAAATAGAAATCAATATCTTGATAATATAGATAATAGTAGACAAGAAACAAAATGATAAAATAGAAATTAATATCTTGATAATATAGATAATAGTAGACAAGAAACTAAGTGACAAAATAGAAATCAATGTCTTGATAATATAAATAATAGTACACAAGAAACAAAATGATAAAATAGAAATCAATATCTTGATAATATAGATAATAATAGACAAGAAATTAAGTGAAAAAATAGAAATCAATGTCTTGATAATATAAATAATAGTAGACAAGAAACAAAATGACAAAATAGAAATTAATATCTTGATAATATAGATAATATAGACAAGAAACTAAGTGACAAAATAGAAATCAATGTCTTGATAATATAAATAATAGTAGACAAGAAACAAAATGACAAAGTAGAAATCAATATCTTGATAATATAGATAATAGTAGACAAGAAACTAAGTGACAAACAATATCTTGATGATATAGATAATAGTAGACAAGAAACTAAGTGACAAACAATGTCTTGATAATATAGATAATAGTAGACAAGAAACTAAGTAACAAACAATGTCTTGATAATATAGATAATATTAGACAAGAAACAAAATGACAAAATAGAAAATAGTAGATAAGAAATAAAATACAAACAATGACTTGACAATGACTTGATAAAGACTTGACAATATATAAAATAGTAGATAAGAAACAAATTACAGACAATGACTTAACAACATTTAATTTCCAAACAGATCGCGACCCAACTTTTCCAACAACTCTTTGCTCCGGTCATCAAGATGCTCCTTTGAACTTAGCTTCATAAACATCTTCATCTTCTTAGCCTCAGTACTTTCTTTCAATAATTGGTTAGCTTCCTCTTGTCTCATGGCTATTTTGTCCAATCGTTCCAACTCTTTCTCCTTAAATTGTTTGAATTCATTCCACTCTTCATTGACCGATTCAAAGGCTACGCCATTGCTTTTTTTTACCCTTTTTTTGCTGGATTCCTCCCCATTCGGCGAGCACTAGATTCTACGGAGTTGGAATTACTTGCATCACTCTCGTGGGCTCTCTTAGATCCAGAACCTACATATCCACTATTTTCTCCTACCTGACTACCATAACATGGTTGATCACGGAGAGCGAGCCATTCTGACATTAAAATGAAATGTCCACTCTTACCACTTGAATATAATTCATGCGCTTTTACCAATACATCATTCTCCGACCACCCGCTTTTTTGCATACGCTTAACATTATCATAAGCATCTGTCTATTTATTAAGTATTTTGTTCATGTAGTTGTAATGATTTCTACATGGAGCTCCATCATGGGGTGGATCAAATGAGCAATGCTCATTACAATAATAAACAATTTTAACCCAATATGAATCACTTTTTTGGTTTCTCCCAACAACACTGTCTGTTCCATATTTAATACACCCACTAATTAAAACCAAATTTTGATCAGTGGTCCATTTGGGGATTTTTCGACGAACAGGATTTGAATCCTCTGCATTTGGAGTGGCTCCATGACCACCGCTCATGCCACCAAGAGCTGTTTGTTTAGAGAAATCAGGAAATTCATCAAGTCCAACATTAGGAACATTTTCATTTCCCATTGGAGTAGAAGAATAATAAGGTGGTGCTTGAGATGAATATGACATCATAGATCTATAATATGGATGATAGTTTGGATTAGATGACGGTATTATGAAATTTGGTATATTTTGGGGACCTTGTTGGTTGGAAGATTGATTTTGAAATATATAGTTGGGATTTGGGTAGTTGAAAGGATAATTAGTAGAATTTTGGGTGTTAAGAGGGTTATTGTTGGGATTCATTTCACTAAAAAATTGTTTAGAGTTACAAACAATAATTTATTGGAGGCTAAATAGAAAAATTAGAGAGAAAATAGATATTTTTTCTTTGTCCAAATCAAATGAACCAAGACTCTATTTATAGACCCAAAAAAATGATGAATTTTGGTGAAAATAAAAATTAATAAATAATTGATTTTCTATAAAATAATTGATTCCAAATAATTTAGGTGAGATAAAAATATAAACAATCACAACAACCAATTATATTTTGCAAAGTAGTATAAGTGACCCCCACTCATTTCTCATTCAACATGTTGAATGTTTTCAACACAAATTAATCCATGTCACATTCAACGCCTTATTCAACAATCCATTGGAGCAATTCAACTATTGAAAAATTTATTTAACACCCCCATTGTAAGTAGTCTTAAGGATGTTGTGATGTGTACGAAGATCAAAGCCCGAAAGTTGGTTCCTTTGGATACTATTTTAAATAATAATATACGAGTGGACCCCGTGGTGTTGGAAAATGTTGAGACCTTTGGTGACGTTTCAGAACAGGGAGGTAACATCTTTGATTTAAATTATGATTTGGGCCTGAAAAATCTTCTTGGGCCTACTTTATTGGTAAATTCTATTCAGGGAAGTCCAGTAACTTCTAAAAAAAAAATTGTATTTCTTTAAATTTTTCTAAGAAATATATATATATATATATATATATATATATATATATATATATATATATATATATATATATATATATATATATATATATATATATATATATATATATATATATATATATATATATATATATATATATATATATATATATATATATATATATATATATATATATATATATATATATTTGTCTTTGGAGGAGGTGGTTTCTGAATCGATGATTTTTTTCCGGAGGTTCCATTTTGTATTATAGTTCTAATTCCGATTCAGATGTGATTCAATCTAATAGGCTATTTTGGAGAAGGAAAATGGGTGAGTGGCAGAAGATGTGTGGGAGAAAGCAAAGATTTTGGGGATTTCAGGTGGGGGTTAGGCTTCCCATCAAATTGAGGCTCTTAGGTTGAGGAAACTAGAGGAGAAGCAGGGAACATGTTCAAAGGATGTTTTTAAATGAGTGACTCGATGATTGCTTCTTCCTTTAATATTTGTGGGTGTGGAGGCAATGCAAAACGCAAATGTCTTCAGGATTTGATTTGTATGGAAAAAGTGGATGTTTGTTTTGGTTCAAGAGTCTAAATTTCATAAAATATTGGATTGAACTTAACTAGACTAATTATAATAAGATTATATACATTTAGAAGCAAGAGTTGGGAAAATCCATATGATGGATTAGAATAAGGAGTTATTCACCCAATTAAAATATTTGAGAATTGTATTGGATACAATTGGAAGGAGTTCCTATCTAAATAGTCGAGTTTTGTGTAATCATCCTAACATTGACTTAAAACGAAGAGAAATATGGATCTCGATCTACTAGAAAATCTTCCAATGGGATTTTCTGAATCAAATGGTGAGGGTAATTTCGTTTGAGTAAAATAGTGGGAGCATATTTAATTAAAGGCCTAATTGAATATGTTTTAATGATACTAATATTTTCACAATCTTTATGTAGATTACCATGACAACAAACACTTCTAACAATATTTTACGATCAATCCTTGACAAGGAAAAATTGTCTGGGATAAATTTCCTGATTTGGCATCGAAACCTGAGGATTATCCTCAAACATGACAAAAAGCTCTATGTCTTAGAGACACATGTTCCAGAAGAAAAGCCTCCTAGTTATGCTCCTAAGGCTGAAAAAAGATACTTATAAGATGCATGTCGATGATGCCAATAAAAATGCTTGCCTCATGCTGACTACCATGAACTCAAAATTGCAAAAGCAACATTAGAACATGACAGTGTTCGATATGATCGAACATCTGAAGATGCTCTATCAAGAGAAGGAAAGGCATGACAGGTTTGAAGTTTTAAAATCCCTTTTTCATAGCAAGTTAGTTGAGGGAACCCTTGTAGGTCCCCATGTACTCAAGATGATTGGGTATGTGGAAAACCTTGAAAGGTTAGGGTTTCCCCTCGAAAATAAACTTGTGGTTGATTTGATCTTGCAATTGTTGCCAGAGAGCTTTAGAAAATTTGTCCTTAATTTCAACATGAATGATATGGACAAAAGTCTTCCAGAACTGCTAAGCATGTTAAGAACTGTTGAGCAGAATCTGAAGTCAAAAGGTAAGTCCATTATGATGGTCAGTAATGGAAAGAAGCATAACAAAAGGCCCATCAAGCAGGGTAGAAAAAGGAAAGGTAAGGAAGTTGCCAAACCCAAACCTAATGCTCCTGTTTATCATGAAATTTGGTAAACAACTGTTATTCTTCCAAAATAAGAATGATTTGGTTACTCACAGGATCTACTGGATTGATCCTACGACATGTGTTTTGTTTTAATGGCTTATATCTTTCGAATGCTCATCTTTTCAAAGGTTATGGTTAATGTGTAAATGATTGTAATGCTATGTAAAGTAACTACAAGAAGATAAAAAGACTTCAACTTAAAAGTAAAAGGAATTAAAAGGATTCTCTGTAAGTTGGTACTTTGAATTTATTTGAGTAATTTGTACAAAAGTGAACACATTGAATCCTAATACAAAGATCATAATTTATACTAATTTGACCATAACGGTCTTTCGCTACAAGAGTGTCACATTCGATGTATGCATGCTCTTTCAAATCAGCAGCTTCCACGCGTCCTTCTAGATAAGATATAACCATTTTGTGATCGGTGGATTTAGAACTGACTGTTTAACGCTGGTTCGCGAAATGTCGCGGAAGCAAGAGTCGCCACCGTCTTTTATTTTCTCCAACATGGACAGGACAAAAGCACAGCAAAATTCCTTATGAGATAGTTTCTCGGTTCGGGAGGTAGATTTATAGAAAGGGAAGGTGTTAGCACCCTTTCTATCCGTGGTTATCCACAGGCTCTTAGATACTTGCTCTTTATGTTTTCAAAATGTTTGCTTTTCAATTGTGAGTGGGTTTGAAAAAAGTTTCTTTGAAAGATTTCGGAATAACTCTTGTATCTGTCCTCAAGAGTGTTTTGAAAGCTTTTTGAAAGTGTCGGTGTGAAAAGGTTTTTGTTTTTTCTTTTAGAGAGAGCATTAGGCTGTGTATAAGTCCTTAAGGTAGTGCCATCCCACCATTGAGAGGTAGGTAGCACCACCGTTGAAGGTGTTCGGGTCAATTCGATTGTAGGGACAGTGTGGTCACTGAAGCAACAGTAGGACACCTTAGAAGCTACCCTTATGTCCTTGATCCTTTTTTAATCCGAGGCAACCGTTTCGAGGAAACTATTTCGAGGCAACTTTTTCGAGGCAACTGTTTCAAGGCAACTAGATCATGGACATAAGGACTACTAAAACGTCCTATACTTGACGACCACGTTTCGAAGGCAACAGGTGAGGCGTACCCTAGAAGTGGTGTGTGTATTTGTGTGTTGTTTTCAGTTTAACAGTATTCTTTGATCATGGCATTGTGAGCTATGCTTGTTTTTAATAAGCATACATTCTTTCATACAAAGTTAGAATTTAAGAGTGCGGAAAATTAAAAGCGGAAAGATAAAAGCTACGCTATTACAAGGCGCGGGTCTATACATCGCCAAAATACAAAGACCCGTTTTGATAAAAGATGCGGAAAGTAAAAAGAAAAGCGATAAAACTAATTACTATTACATCCTTGAGCAGTTACATAATATTCAAAAGAAAATAATGCGCGAAATAGAAATTAAAATTGAAAGTCCGAGGGTTTTGACCCTTTTGAGAAATTAAATTAAATTAAGACTTAACAATTATTTAATTAAAGAGAAGAAAGAAAAGAAAATGTTTTTATGTTTTTGGTATTTATGAAAATAAAGAAAACTAAAATCAAGAGAAACCCTAATTCTAAGTTTATTTTAATTATTTTAAGAAAATATTAAAGTTGACCTAATTTACTAGTTATTTATGTACAAAAATAATAATTAATAATAATAATAAATAATGAGGAAAAATTAATTAAGAAAAGATAAAATGTCAAAACCTAATTCTAGATATTTTTTATTTATTAAGAAAAAGATTAAAGTTTAAAACCTAAATTAACTAAGTTAATTGTTAGAATTTATTTACAAAAATATGTTAGTGATGAATTAATAATAATTAAATATATTTTACAATTTTTTGATTTTCTGTTTTTATTATGGAAAATTAATTTATGGTAAAAAAATAAAAAAAACAATTAAAACAATTAAATGATTAAAAGAAATTAAAAGAAAAGAAAAGAGAATAAAAAATAAAGCAAACCAAGGGGGGGTGTCAGGCCCATGTGGAGGTGTTATTGGAAGAATCTTGGCCCATTAGACAAAGCCTGTTTGACCTTTTGGTATCACGTGTTTGATGGTTGACTGAGGTACACCCTGGACTTCACTCTGCAGCCTTCAGATTGTGGGTCAAGGCCATTTGGCAAGCATGAGCATGGGTACGTATGATGGACCACTGAACCATTGTTGCATGTGAACATGTTAAAACAAAAATTATGCAATATGTGGGGGGACCTGGGAATCGAACCCAGGTCCCAGCGCTTGAGAGACACGTTGCCAACCAGCTGAGCTATTGCGTTTGTTTGTATACATAATGGATAGAAAATATAATATATAAAACAAAAGTTAACGGTATAAAACAAAGAAAAACGCGCCAGATATTTGAACTATCCAACCACGCCTTGACACGCATGCTTCTTCTTCATCTTTTTTACCTGTAACATGAACAAGTAGCGGGGGTTTTAAACCCCCACAAAACCAAAGTCCAGAAAATAGCGATTAGAAGAGGAGGAAATATAAAAAGGGCGCGAGGGTATCATTTGCTTCATCTTGAGCTTCTGAACTCAGCTGTATAGGTCTAAAGGTCTAATTTTTCCTCTACAAGAAAGCCCTATTTTGAAGCTTCTGAAACCCTAGGTTTCATCCA